TGTTCTGTTTCTAAGGAACTGTCAAATGTGATGGATGTTCCTGTGACGGCCTACACTATGTTGCGGGAATTGTGGAATGAGCCTAAAATTGTGTGTTGTTTATTACCATCACAATGTGACAGCTAATGCATACGCTTATGTATTCACATTTATGTAAAGGGTCTTGGCTTACTTACTTGTTAAATACTGTGGTTTCTTACATCATGGACAATGATTATGAAAGGAGGTATTTAGTGTACCAATATTATAGAGATTTATTGTTCCAAAAAGGGTCTACCGGCACTATATCCGATCCATTGATGATGTAATAAAATAAATAATTATAAATTATTTGCCAGATTTCAACCCAGCCGATTTAGTAACATACCACAATATTTCTCAAGTGACTCTAACCCAGGAATTCCAAATAAAATAAATAATTTTTTTTCATTTTTTTACGAATTATGATAAATAATAATTTAATACATCATATCAGATCATGTTTTGATCCGATGCGCCCCGAGATGTTGGTGAGTTTAATTTGTAATATGTTACATATCGTGACTTCGCAATTAGCGTTAAAGTCAGAATATGTCAGCCCGCAAATTATTCTTAGAAAACTACTACCTGGCGCATTAAAATTTTTTTTCAGATTTTATTTCAACAAATTATCATAATTAGTATGGTCAAAGAATATTACTTTGTTCTTTGAGAGATATCATCGCTCCTGCAATCTTGTTTTTGTTTATAGTTTTTTTTTGTTTAACAACAGTGTATAATTTACATATATATATATATATATATATATATATATATATATATATATATATATTTATGTGTGTGTGTGTGTGTGTGTGTGTGTGTGTGTACATATATAATATATAATATATATTAGATTAGTAGTTTCAAATTAATACAAATAATAAAGAACATATTTTGACTTTATAATGGTTGGGATTTATAACAAATGCCGATTTTAAAATATATTTTTATAGTTTTATTAAAATGAAAAATATTTATTATGTGTTAACAAACGAAGATGGCTCTTTCTCAAAGAATATTTAAGCAATTATATTTAAAAATATATCGATATTGATAGTACTAAAGGTCGTATGTAATAATTAAGTATCTTTACAAAAGAAAATAAAAACTGATTATTTATTTATGATTTTTAACTATTATTTCATAAAGTACTTCCGAATACTATTATCCATAGTAGCAGTTGTATATGTATTATATTTTCTGGCTACAAAATGTCAATTTTAGCATAAATAGAATTAACACAGAAAATTGTTAGATTCCATATTTTGCACTTACAGTAGCATCATTATGTTTTTAGTATTTCTTCTCTTTGATGGATAAAACTTTAAATTTCTGCAGTTTTGGATTCTCTGTGTTTTAAATGTTTTTTGGAAAGCTGAGTAAATTCTTTTAACCTGCCCTTGAACTTTGTTCCACTTTTAAAAATAAAAAATCTTCTTCTTCAATGTGCGCTGCAGTCCTTGTAGAACCTGGGCCTCTGCCACCACTCTCCTCCACTCCTCACGGCCCGCAGCAAGATTCCTCCAATTCCTGATCCTCAGGCTCCTCAAGTCTTCTTCCAGATCATATAACCATCGGTGTCTGGATCTACCTCTTTGTCTTTTCCCTCCTGGAGTACCATTCAACATCATTTTTGAAAGTTCACTGAGATCCATTCTTTCAACATGACCCAGCCATCTGAGTCTACCCTTCTTAATAACACTAAGGATGTCTGGCTCACAATATAATTCCATTAACTCTACGTTGCTTCTTATTCTCCATCTATGCTGCTCTCTGGCAGCTCCAAAGATCTTCTTTAGGACTCTTCTCTCCCAAACAAGCAAGGCTCTCCTGTTTTCCTTGGTCATAGTCCACGTCTCACTGGCATAAAAAGCGACCGGTCTAATCACCGTTGTAAATATTACTATTTTTGCCTTCCTGGAAAGACTTTTGTATTGGAGAGCCTTTTGCAGAGCATATAAACATCAACAAATATAAGAAATAAATTACCATTATTAACTCAGCAAGAAACGAAGGTATTTTATTCATACTTCTAGCAATATAAGGAATACAATTTTTTTTTTTTTAGACACCTGTAAGTTGACAAAACATAAAAATAAAACATATTATAACCCGATCCCAAAATGTTGATATATTTTATTTTATTTTTTTAATTAGAAATATAACAATCTGTCATGTGGACAATAATTATAGTGATATCTGAACACATCCATACCATATATACTGAAAATATAGAATTAACAAAAGTGAAATAATAATCTAAAAATATGTACAATAAAAAATAAAATAACCTAGATTTATATCTTTTTTTGTATGCAGGTTCACCTACGTTATATGAAGTGTTTTATTTCAATACTGTGTCATCTTATCGTTAGATATCTCCATTTTCGCCAAGTTTCTCATGAACTGGCAACCCATCAGGCTCGGGTTTATTAACTTATGCTGAATAATTAAATATGGAAAGGAAACCGTTCATATATAGTGCTAAGTGCGTAACCAACTTTCTCAAGTCGTTTTCGAATTTCCACAGCAACTCGGTATGACTTATCCTGTTTCTAAATTATACAGTCAGGCTAAATGTTAACAAATTTCATTTACTGAGTTTCATATGAAGATTCCCGTTGAAATTGTAATTGGCGAGACGTTGGGAAATTTACAATTATGAATCATGCAACGTGGAACTTGATAAGCGGCCATTCCGAGACACTGATATCAAATGCTATATATTTCAGAGACATATACCACTGAGGCATGCGAATATGATATGAAATTCAAATTTTATTATCTTAGTGTATTTTACTATACAGTTTTTTTTTATATAAAAATTCAAAATATAATTTTGATTAATGTCGATATATATATATATATATATATATATATATATATATATATATATATATATATATATATATATATATATATAAAGTCGCGGTCATAGAATTTACCTTTACTTACTAAGGTTACAAGAAGACTTTAACATTGTATTTCAGTCCAGTTTTAACTAATGCCAAAATAAAAAGCTGTAGTTACGACCTGTATCGATAACTGTCCTCGACAAAAAATATTAAAATTGTTACGTTACACGAAGTAAAGGAATTTTGACGGGAAATAGTAGCGAGAATAGGGTACCACCAATCAACGGTAGTCATAGTTGTGAGCAAAAAAAAAAGGGAACCATGGAGTGAAAGAAAAAAACTGGTAGTTGAAAAAACAAACGAACAATTTGACCCGTTAAATGGTACGATCATTTTTAGAATATCGTTTCAGAACTGGTAAAGAAATATTCGGAGATCTTTCAGATAGAAATCTGGTAAATAAAATGGAATCTAATAAAAATTTTACTGGGTATATAACTGTAAATACTACAAATTTTTATCGTTTTAATACCTACAGCAATAAAAAGTATTTTATTTTGATTGTCTCATTACGTTTTATGTACTAATTATATATATTATAACCCAACTTCTCTTCATTTATTTTATCAATTATCAATAAATTGATCGTTCCTATCTCTTCAGAAATTATTCTACCGTTTTTAAAACCGTATCTTGTTTTATTCTTCTTATTTTTCTTACACTTTTTTATTTTTCAATTTTTTTTTTATTAATTAGAATTTTAATTTACACATAATCAATTTCGCTTTAGAACCAAATACACTATGATAAATACAATGTTAAATTTAACTGAAATTTTCGCCATATTCCGGGAAATAAATTTATTATATCTCATTCTAATTGTTACAAAACAGTGTTATAGAACAATAACTTTGTTTTGAGAAAAAGTTCTTTTAAAAATTACAAAATCGTACAGAAACAGAAGGATTACTTCTAGACAAAATATTGCATTGATTATTTTTTGTTTATTTCATCTTAACCACGAAGACGAACCGGTTTTTTTTTTTTTAGCCGATTTTATAGTTTGTTTAAACTTTTTGTTTACAAATAAAGTAAAATTATCGTTAAAAATATTAATGGATACTTAATAGTTGACCGTTGTATTATAGAGGAAGGAGATAGTCCTGGGTGGCGGTCATAAATAGACTAACGTAGTGGCAAAACTATTTTATTAAGAACTATCGTTTCTATCCGACTTTGCAGATCTTCTTCAGGGAGGTGTGTTCATCAAGGAGTTTCACTTAAAATAGTTTCAAATGAACATCGCATAAATGACGGAGCGATACCCCTTGACATATTTTTTTCTTTGTTGTAGCGATGGACTCTAGCGTTAATATTAATTATTTTATTAGTTTTACACACTAAGCTTTTAGCTAACATACCATTTCGTGTCTAGATATAATAAAAATTACCAATAACTTGTCGATAAAATTAATATATATTATAGAAACGTATCTATTCCACTAGAGAGTGTATCTATTTTACTAATGTTTCTTGAAATAAATATATTTTATTGCATATGTTTATTTTGCTTTTAATATTACATAAAATAAATAATTGGTTTATTGCAATTAAAACATTTTTTTATCCCATACCTCATTATAAAAAATTCTTTTTTAAGTGCATTTCGGCAAACTGATTTCCATTTTTGTTATTAATTAAGTTGTTATGGTTATGGTTATCGTTGTTTCGATTGGTTTAGCTGAATATATTATAAAAAGGTTAATAGACATTTTTTTTTCTAATTTCCCAAAAAGTTTATTAAATTAAATTACATATATAAGTATAACAATACAAATAACAAAGTCCTTCCCCTGCCCGAGAGCATTTTAAGGATAATAAACAATTGCATGAGTTTATTAACATAACATGAATCATATTACCAGAAAAACGAGAAGCAAAAAACCTAAGAAAATTCGTCTATTTGACGTACCCGATTCCTTTCTCGGGTTAAGGCGACAATAGATCTACAAGGTCTTTTTATGTCCAAAGAAAAAACTTTTAGTCCTGAAGTTGATGATACATTCCATCGTTATTGATAAATATCTATTGTATTGATGATCTTTATTAAAATAACTTAGTTACCGCTCTGTTCTTGAGGTTGCGCACCCTGCAGTGAAGGAAGGCGGTTCCTCCGAGCTGTGCGGTGACGTTGGTCGTCATGCTGGTGTCGAAGACAAGAAGTTCCTCCGGAGGTTGGGTGGTCCTCGGCGGCTCCGGTCTCCTTTTGTTGCTCCTCTGCAGCTGCTTCACCTTCTGGACCAGCTCGTCCAGTGAAAGCTCTGGGCTACCTAAGGAAGAGAAGAAGAGGATTTTGTTTGAAAATTATATTAGTTTATTGAATATTTAATAGTTGGCCGTTGCATTATATAGGTAGAAGATGGTCTGGGCTGGCGGCCATAAATAGGCTAAATAGTTTTACCACTATTTAGCCGATTTATGGCCGCCACCCGGATCATCTCCTTCTTTTGTATTAGTTTATATTAATTACAAAAAAATAAGTTAGCGAAGTGTTATTTACTTTCGATTTAAGTAACAAAGAAAAACTTTATTTTCAAATTCTTTATTCGTTTGTGAAAGACATTGTAGAAACTTTGTATGTTCGATGTGTAAAATCGAAATATGATAATCCTCATAAAAAATTTAAAATTATTTTTAATAATCGTTAATTACTTAAATTTAATATTTCTTCAGATATCGCTCCCTATTCATCGAAAACCGTGGCACTTAAAAAAAAAAAAACTAAAATTGGATTTCCTACTTTTCTGCTGAGAATAGGTCCATTGCTTATAATAACTTTTTTGTTATTAGTATGTAACTCCTATAAATATTTCGCTCTACTTAAGGAACAGTCTGTATACATCAAAGTAATTTTAATCCACGATGTTTTGACCGGAATCTAGTATGATTTGGATGTAATATAATGTTTATAAAACGTCTAGAGTTTTTGTCAAACAAATAATTTAAGAGAATTAGATTTTCCGTTCGTTTTGAAATTGCTTTCTATTCACGTAATTTAGCTCTGCAAGAGAAGTGGTAGTCGCTTGGAGCTAGGTCTATTAATAGAGAGAGTGGGAGATCCCCTTCAAGCATACGGAAATACCAGTCGCTAAGTTGATTTAGGTTAGAGAGTGTAAAGTAGCCTAGCTTGTACAAATGGTTTTCTAAGCTTGTGTAGACAAAGGAAGATATTTATTTAGACAGAGGTAGATATTTTTTGTTTAGTAATAATCATCTCTCGCAAGAAATTTAAACGTCGTGTTTTTAACTCACGGAAGGCTTGATTTTCCTTTAGTCCGTGGTACAGACTCCTTTTTATCAAAGTATTAACATCCGCCTGGAACTTCGTAAATAGCTTCCTCTCATCGGAACCTATAAATATTTTACTTACGAAAATCTTCGAATTTGAGGCGTTTTAAATCTGGAGATTGGCAAATTTTTTATATTTAATTTGGTACTAAAAACTCGTAAATACCAATTTGCTTTCCACATGAATCGTAGGATAATTTTACCATAAATTCGAAAAAAATGTGTTATTTTAAAATATTGAGCCGTTTTGCTTGGCCTACACCCACAAATTGTCAAAATAACAAAGTTATATAGGCCAAACGGTCCAAAAGTTTTGTAGGTAGTATTTTTTTTTCGATTTTTGTGATCAAATCCATGATATTACGATCCAAATTGAAATAAAATGGATTTTTACGAGTTTTTAGTACCTAATTAAATAGACAATATTTGCCAATTTTCAGATTGAAAACGCCCCAATTCCGAGAATTATCATAAATAAAATATTTGATGGTTACAATGATATGAAGTTATTTCTGAAGTTTCAGGTGGATGTTAATAATTTGATAAAAAAATAGGTCTGTATCATGGACTACTTATTCATAGGGTACTTTTTATTCATTATTAAGTTAGGTATAAGGATCAGAGGTCATTTTTCCTCCAAAACGCTAGATGGACACTACATTGGGGCAATGCATGTTTAGATTCATCTGTTTAAAGATTTAAAAAAAAATTAAATAAATAAACAATTAGAATTATATTTATATATATATATATATATATATATATAATATATATATATATATATATATATATAATATATATATATATATATATATATATATATATATATATATATATATAATATATAATAGAGAGAGAGAGAGAGAGAGAGAGAGAGAGAGAGAGAGAGAGAGAGAGAGAGAGAGAGAGAGAGAAAGATAGATATATATATATATATATATATATATATATATATATATATATATATGCGTGTGTGTTTGTGTGTGTAGTGGTATCTTACCACTAAACTGAGTGAAAGTGGCTCTTCCCCCCCATTCGAAGACAATATTTCCTAGGTACATTCCTGTATCAAATCATCAACAATCATCGTCCTTCTTACGCCTACAAGCTTCTCCAATCAAGATCTCAATTTTTTTCGAACTAACACAGAGTTATTGCTAAGAATGCAATGTATTTTATTTTTTTTAAAGTGATACTAGTTTACCAGTGTACTAGTTTTAAGGTCTGGCATAGTTCAAGTGTTTGTATACAGATTTTTTTATTTGTACATAGTAGTTAACTAACATTCCTACTTTTTTCTTATTTACTTTATGTTGTTTTACTAGCCAGATATAATATTTAATTGTACTTGTTGTATCTACAAACTGGAACTCGTCCAGAGTAAATATTTTCATCTATATACATATATATATATATATATATATATATATATATATATATATATATATATATATATATATATATAATAAATTTATTAATTTATATATAGCGCCCATTTGTATCTGAATACGTTGAGCGTGTCTATGGCGGTTTGTCGTTCCCAGAGCATCCAATTCCGGGCTCTGTCCCTTCTTAGGCGGCTAAGGAAATTGATTGAGTAATTCAATGGAAGGATCGGAAAAGAGGCGAATATCCTAAGGGGAATATCCTTTGAGTAGGTTGAGGTCTTCAGTGCCTTTGACCCTCAATCCCAGAGGTTTTGGTGAGAGCTGCAAATTACAGAGGAGGGCAGCCTTGCAAGGATTTGTTTAAAACATTTCAATTGATTCCAAAAACAAAACGAAAAAACATTGTATTCTCAACACTTCGTTAATACGATAGCATCTAAATCATTACGAATATCCGTTGATAATAATTTAGTACAAGTTATTATATTATAAAATGAGTCGTATTTTTTATGTTTAGAATTATTTTATTATTTATTATTGGCGGCGTTAGTAATATCGTCGAAATGACTTCAATACAAACAAAATGGATTAGTAGGACGTTTTCGTTTAAAAATTATGAAAATCTAAGTCTATGTTTGTATTTTGGTTGTTGTTTTGATTAGTTTCGTTGTTTTGTTTTTTTTTAGATTAAATCTTCTTTAGGGGCATTTTGCACTTTATTTGTAGGGAGTGCATTAGATTAAGCCTTCAGATCTCCGATGTGTAACGCACCCGTAATGTCTGCAGGAGTTGACTGATTGAAGTGTTTTTGCATATGGATTAAAATATCTCACAAACTAAAAATCAGACCTGCATACTGTATGGGAGGGAATTGTTCAGCATTTTATCCTTCCTGTAATGGGCTGTTATTTACAATTTATATTTCATATTATTAATCTCGCCTTTATGATGTTTTCATTTCTATCATGTGGTCTAGAACACACCTTAGTCGTTTTTTTTTTTTTTTTTTTTGGTTGATGTACACTTATTATTTATGTATATATTTTTAATCCAGTCGGCGCGATAACACTATGCCCAGTCTTGGATTCCTGTACCAGCCTCCACCAATTGATATACATTTAGTTTTTGTTATATTATTTTGCTGTTTAATTTATTTTTATTTATTGTTCGTAGATTGTGAAGGCACTCGCTGAACATTATTATAAATGCCCTAATTGAGACAGTTTTTAATATTTCACAATAAATAATTTTTTTTTAAGCATTAGCTTATAGGAGACAGGAATGGGAACGGCGCATAGGTTAGACACTACCAGCATAACAGTTCAGTCAGTCGAACAAGTATAGGCTTTGCCCCTTCATTGATAATCTATTAACCAGACCAGAATTTCAAATAAAGCATTTTAAAATACATTTGTTGTGTATTGCATTTAAATATGAAATATGAATTAAAATATGAAACATATTTTTTGTAATTGTATTTTCTTTTTAAAATACAAAATTCAAAAAAAAAAAGTATTTCTATTTTATTTCCAAGGTACTAAAATACAAAAATTGTATTTTATTTTTTTTGACAGGTGTAAGTGGAAAAAACAATTTTTTTATTGTTATATTTACAACTGTATAAGTATGAATGCATCAAGTAAATGTGTACAGAGGAATATAATTTGATGAAACACGCTTGTTGAGAAACTACCCATTGGTAGCTTGTGGAAAAAATTAAGTTAATAAAAAAAAACTTTGTGATCAGGTGTTTCTATTAAGTAAATATCTTCTTTAATAATACTTTATAACAATCCTTTTAATTAAGTAGCTTCACACTTTCGATTCTGTGGAACTTCTAGGCGATAGTAATATTGCAAATTTAAAACCAAGGTCTATGGAATAAAAATCTTTCATGTAAGACTTCAGGCTGATATCAAAAGCCATCAGAAATAATTCAGAGAACACTAATAGAGAAACCATGAACGTTTCATGTATTCAACTTACGAGATAGCGATCCCTGAGATCAGATACCGTTAAGACAATACGATAACAATTTGAAATCCCTGAACGTCATTTACATGCTAACAGAATTAGTGCTCCTTTCAGAGGTGCCAATCCTGAAACTGAATTATCTTGAAGCCTATTCAGAAGCAGGGAGTTGATCTACGTGCGTTAACTCTTAACTCGATTCTTCACTTCTCATTAGAGGGTTCTCTTTCTGGAAATTAATCGTATTAAATAAAGTTGAAGCCCCTTTTTCACGTACTTTTTATGTATTTTTTCACGACTGTATATTTTGGAGTACTTAATTTACGAAGTAACCAAAATTTTTTTTTTTTTACTTTTAATATTTATTTGCCTCTGTCAAATTATCAAATGGACTGAAATACATGAAATAATGTAATGTCAGAGAAACGGACAGTACTCAAAATTACCTTTTCTCTGACTTGTTTCAATTATCTATAAGCAACTTAGATACGCCTTTCTTTTAATTTCAAAATTTAAAAGATATTAATGCGTGTAATGGGACAAAAGGAGTATCTATATGCCAACGATAACAGATAGTAATATATATATATATATATATAAACCATGGCTCCTTTACAACATTG